TTGTTAGCATCCCACGACTGAATAAAATCCTGCATGTTCTGTGTGGCTCTGTGGAAGGGAAACTCCAGTCTTATTCTGGCATCAAGATAAGGTCCCTTCTGCAGTCTGTCTCTAAGGGACAAGTAAATGGCCATCTTTGGTTCACTGATAAAAACATTTAAAAGCCGGGCCTTTGGCTTATTTTTCCTATTGTGATAAACTCCTCCTACAAAAAGAACATTTATAAAACCTGTCCCAAAAGGACTAAAAACACTCATTAAAAGGCTAAAAATGATCTTTAGTTTTGTGCATTCCATAAAAACATGGAACACATTTTCAGAGAGACCACAGAAAGGACAACCGTTTAAAACAGCCTGATTAACAACCAATAAAAATCAGTTTGTGGCCATGGCACCGTGTAAAATTCTCAGTTGGAGATCACCAGTTCGTTTTTTGATTGGAGGCTTGTATAAAGTCCTCCCCTGGGGTGCTTTTATCTGAAGTTTTTCTGTCCAGATGTAGACCGGTCGGTTCTGAAGATTTCTTTGGTTAATTGCTTTTGTGTAGCTGTGGTAAAGAGCTTCCTCGTCCATATTTGATAAGATCATTCTCTGTGGGTCCAGGCTGGAGAGAAAGAAGAAGCACAAGAAAAAATTAACATCCAACTAAGGAAATTTTAAATCCATGTTGGGAAAAAGAAATGAGGATTTTTGGATTTACAATTGAAAAGAAAATAAAAGATTTTAAAATGACTGATTCAGAAAATAAACTCAAACAATACCACTATCAGCTATACCACCATGGATTCTACCAGAAGCAGCAGTAATTATGTCAATAATGGAAAAGAAACAAGATAAATCTTACACCGTAGAAAGTTATTTAGTACAGTTAAATTTAAACAATTATTATTAATATATTCAAATTTATACAGATGCAACAAATATGCAAAAAGAAAAATAGGAATAGCTTTTGTGGTACCGGAATTCAATATAAAAACAGAATGGATTATCAGCATACACAGGAGAAATGTTGGCAATTTTATTAGCCTTACAATGGGTGGAAGACATAAAACCATTAAAAACAGGAATTAGTTCAGATTCAAGCTCTGCATTGTTAAGTTTAAAATATAATCAATCAGATAGTAGGATGGACATTCTATTAGAAATATATCTAACATTATTCAGAATAAAATTTATGGGTTTGATTGTTGTATTTGTCTGGGTTCCATAACATATCTGAGTAGAAGGAAACGAGAGGGCAGATAAAATGGCAAAGAGGGCAATTTAAAATCCTATTTTCCTGATTTACTGGTTTTACAGTTAAAACTAGTAAATCAGAGGAAAAGAGTATTAATAAAGAAAAACTGATGGAAAAATGGCAAAAAAAGGTTGGATGAAGAAAGAAACAGGATGATGGTTTTATAAAATTCAGAAGATAGTAGGAAAAAGAAGAGAGATACTTAACGAGGTGAAGATTTAAGCATACAGGACTTAAATATACACTTTGAAAATGGAATACTACTGGCAAATGTGATTACTGTGGAAAATATGAAACAATTGAACATGTTATACTGGAATGTCATAGATATGAAAGAGAAAGAAGATATATGAGTAGAGAGCTTGAATGTATTAAGGAAAATATAAATTTTGTAGATATTTTCAGTAAGAATTTGTGGAAAACATACAAACAGTCATTTGATTTTTAAAGAAAACTACATTATTTCCTAGAATTTGATCATAGAAGGTGTGTATATGAATGTGTGTATGTGCATATAGATGGGCAGAATACAGATGGGATGCATCTGTGTGTGTAGTTTTTATTTTTTAAAATTTATATATATGTTTATTAGTAGATAGACCATCACGAACCACACTCCATACCAGTAATTAGCGGTAATGCTACTAAGAGTTTGATGCCAACCGCCAATAAATCCAAGAAGGAGGAGGAGAAGCGGAAGAATACAAAGGATAGATAGATTACAGAGTAGAGATTTACGTATATGTACAGGAGCAGTGAAAACAACACCTATCAACGCTCTTTAGTCGAGACTAAAAAGACTTCAAACTTGACTTAGACTTGGAAGTGTGTCTTTTAAAATAATGGATGAAGGAATATGTAGATCATTTATGTAGATCATTTGAGTAAATGATTAATGTTGTTGCCTCTCAATTGCCATAGTGAATACAAATGACCAGTTGCCACTGGAGGAGTTAACGGTAGCTTTCAAGCTCATCTGTTTTCATTTAAAGCTACCATCAAGCAAACATTTATATTCAGTGGGACACAATTTGCAGCTCTGTCAGAGAGGTGAATACTCTTAGGTTAAAGGATGAGTTTAATTTATAAACCATGGATGTTTGTAGGCAGTGGTCCAATAAT